CTCAATCTCATAGGTTACTCCGAACATTTTGGTTGGTTCCTGTGAAGCTGACACCCTTATGTTTCTTTGATTCATCACTTATTTCCTCTCTCTTAAGTGTTGCTGAACTGACTAATGCCCTTTTATTATTCCTCACTAGCTGTCAAGAAAAAGCAAAATTATACTAGTGTGCATGAGGCAGTGAAAGCTGGTGATGTAGAACAGCTTGCATCAATGATAAAAAGTGGAGCCGGTATTAATGAGGTGGATTTAGTCCACAAATTCACACCGTTGCACTGTGCTGCACACTCTGGAAGTCTGGAGGTAAAACATTATGTTGGCGTTCAGACACAGCAAGGTTTTTATAGGTTAATGTTTTCCTTCTTTGGGAGAGGCTGGACACAAAATTGCTAGCTTTGATCAAGCTAAATCAATAATCTTTGCCTGTTTTTCTCATTAAATATATTCACCAAGAGCAGAAGTAGAGGATTTTAGGTTTTCGTTTTGCCTTTCTGAAGCCCCAGGCAGTTCATATAGTCAACATTGCCAGATTTTACAAAATCAGTAGATTTTTTTACTCTGAGCAAAGTGTGCCCTATGGTCTCCCTTCCAGAGTCATGACCTTCTTTTGTCCCTGTTGTGTTTTTCCCTTCTCTTGGGACACCTAGAAAATCCTGTAAGATGTATACAATGTTCTGCAGGTGATTGAAAGAGGTGAGAAGTGACATGAAAACATGTTCATTCTGTTTACTGATGTCCTGTCCCGTGACTCATTCTCTGTAGAAATAGTCCTAATACATTTTATTTTAATAAATAAAACCGTTGAATATTGATGAAGAAATCAGCAGGTGCTTGCATGAATGTTTTGAACTTCCAGGAGGACTGAGCTGCTGTATTCAGCACAACATTCACCTTCTTGTTGCAGCCTCCTTGTACAATCTTTATAGCAATCTAACCTTGAAGCAACAAGGCCATGAATAACCATATAAAAATTCATGTCCCAAAGGAAAGAATGAAAAGTTCTTGCTAAACTCAAGAAATAATAAGTGCAGTACTGTTACTGGAATGTACAGAAACTGTCAAGAAAATGCTGATCATCGTGTTGTCAATCCTAAAAACAGATTGCTTACCCACCCTTTTCTGCCCCTATAAATTCTGCCATTTTTCATTGGACTCTCCTACTTTGCAATCAGTGTATTAGACTTGATTAAATTATCTGTCATCTATTTGTTGCTAAGCTCCTTCGTGGAAACAGTGGAGGAACCAGAGCCGCAGGCTGGCCTAAAAGAAGATAATAAATCATAATAATATATAATAAAAATTTTTAACTGGTCCTCTAGTTGTTTTTGGATAGTCCATAAAGCTTTCCATTGCAAGCAATAATATCTGCTGGAGAAAGGTGAATAAGCAAAACTAAGCTGTGGAACGATGAGAAGAGAGATGGGACTGTGTACACCTAAGGAGCCTAATAAATTAAATGAGGCTTTAAATTTGGTTCATGGTATTTTTCCTGCCAGTAATTTCAGCTGGAATTCAAGTGAACATGTTTGCACTGTTTTTTCCAATGCTTTTACCTCATGCCATGTGAATCCTCTCACAGATTACATTTTAAATCTGGAAGAGTAAAATTAAGAAGCCATACTGTAAAATCAGTGCTAGGGTCTGAATTAGTAGGTTGTTTGCACTTTTTGTACCCTTGGGTGAAACCTGGGAAGTACAACTTACCTGTAACTTCCTAATGCACAAGTGTCTGGCTAAGGCATGCCCTGGGCTGTCAGATTTCCATAATGAAGTATTCCGATACTGTTTTGAAATGTAGCATCGACTGATTAAATTATAGTTAAAATATGCCTCAGATGCACGATAAGAATAGTTAAATAAAAAACTGTGGTTTTGGTTGAGCAGTGCCTTCACTGGTTGCTCTGGCATGGAGCCGATACAACACATGTAACTGTCAGAGGCTGGACAGCAGCTCACCTTGCGGCTCTCCGAGGTCAGGATGCTTGCATGCAGGTACGTATAAATATTCACTCTCAAGCGAAAGGAAACGGGGCAGACCTTCAGTTTGGACAAGTTCATTATGGAGATCAGCTGAGAGAGCTCCTAATGGAGCTATGAGTATCTCATCTTGATGTCTTTACACCTGGAATCAAGTGACTCTTGTTAAAACCAGTGCACCCATTTGCGCTGTCTGTGCAAACAGATTTATTTTGTGTAGTGTCATTGCCTTGAGGTCCGCCCAGAGTTATCTTGCTGATCATCTCAAGTCATCCTGCTAGGCAGTGTTCGCTTTTTCAGCTTATGAACTGAACTTCTGCTTTGCGTTTCTTTTAGGCTCTGTTAATAAATGGAGCAAACGCAGAAGCTCAAGATGATCGTGGGTGCACTCCGTCCCACTTAGCTGCAGCCCATGGGCAGTCTTACACCTTACAAACCATACTGCGAAGCGGAGCGGTGAGAGACTTTTACCCGTGGTTCCCTAGCACAGAGCCAAAGTTTGGCATCTTTTTCCAAACAAAACTCTCCCTAGATTAAACTGAGATTTAGGACTGTAGATTAATTACTGTCAGTATGTTCTTGCTGGTGAATTTATTTTTAGAGTAAATTTCAATTTTTTTATTGTAAGATACATTAGGGAAATGATCCAAAAATCTAGAGAGAATCAATAATGTGAAGTAAACCGCATTCCACCGAGGGTGTCATTAAATGGAGATCAGGCGCTGTGGTGGTTGTGATTTTTTGCAATTGTACAAATCTTCTATAGTAAAGGAGACATAAATTTAAAAAAAAAATCCAGATGCATATTTAAGGAATAATGACCAATGCAGTGATAAAAGTATGTCTAAAAATGCACCTTTTATGTGTGTATTATTTAAATAAAACCAAGAACCTGTGAAAAGTACCTGCCTTGGAATGGGAACTGCGAACAGGGCACGAACTTTGAAAAAAGCTATTTGATTTGTGTTCAGTAATTTAACACAATGAACAGCTGATTCCTATTTATAAAATTTGTCGTGTCAAAGATTCATAAATAAACGAATTAACCTGCTGCTTTCATTTCAGAATGTAAATGTTTCAGACAGGAATGACTGGAAGCCTGTTCATTATGCTGCTTTTCATGGTCGCTTGGGGTGTTTGCAGCTTCTTGTTAGATGGGGAGCCTGTATAGATGATGTGGATAAAAATGGAAACCTTCCAGGTATATCAGGATAAACTATACTTTTTTTAACCTTTGGTTTACAGTTGTGTGATATGATAATCGTAGCAAATTTTAAGTAATGCACGCCAGCAGCATTTGCTGTTTGATTCCATGCAGTCAACATAGTTACTCTGTTTTTATAATGATGGGGAATTTATAAAATCCGAAGTATTTGTCTGTCGGTGACAGTATCCTCTTCACCTCCTGCTGCTGCTGGCAAGGATCAGAGCTCACAGGTGCTGGAAGAGGCAGCAGGCTGAGCCTGGCTGGGAGCGCAGTGTAGGTGGGCAGCATCTCATATGCGTGTGATGGAGCGCGTGTGCCGGTGGAGGTCACAGGAGGAGAAGGGTGGGTGGAGCGGGAGGCAGTTTCAGCTGCTACATGCTCCTTTTTGAACTTGTGCCAGGCTTTAGTGGCTGTGCCAGTGTGATCAGATTCTGGCACGTTCATATGCAGGTTTTTGTATCCCACTGTTTCTTAACTGATTCGGTAAAACGCTTGTTCTCGTTTACCTGTGATTTCTTCATCTTGATTTCTGGAATACCGGTATTCTGTATTATCTGTAATCTGTACTCTTTTCATAATCATGAGCATAGTCGCTTTAGCACAAAAAATGGGCAGTGTTTATTCCTTGCTCTTCATAGTTTCTCCAGTGTCCCTCTGCCTACCATGCCACTGCCTCACTATCCGCTGTAAGTTGAATGGTATTGTTCATACCCTGTGTTCTCATTGCATCCTTCCCCTTTAGCATTTTTCTTCTTATGGTTTGTCACATTATTTGTTCCAAAAAGCATGGTTTTTTTCTCTACCACTTGTTTAGAGTTATCTTTTTAAATCTGTTCTTAAAATCTTTTACCTTCTGTTAAGCACCACTTAACTAGTAAACTGATACGTGTGTTCTGTTTTGCAAACGCGGGTTTTGTTAAAGGATGTGGGGCTTTTGCATCCCAGCAGGACATCTGGTGTATTAGCAATAAGGGATCATGATGTTAGACACCCTGGTGGCAGTGTGGAAGGTAGCTTTATTTGCATTTGGGACACTTCCCTGATAACAGACTTTTATGGAGAGGTGGCAAATACCAGCACAGTTCTACTTAAATGCTCTGTATATACTGGTTAGTAGAAAATCGGTTTTGTTGTTATTTTGACCTCTACAGAAGCTTGATCCTCCAGCCTTTGTTCTGTTACATTTGATCATATTGTTATCCAAAGGAAAGAAAATGCTTTGGAACATTGCTAGTAAAAGATTAATGAAGTGGCGTGATGTACAGACCAGCTTTTCCTCAGCTTCTGAAACAGCAAAGTGAACTTAAATCATCTTTACATATCTCAGCTTCAAGCTGGACAGTGCTATAATTTTTCCTAACAGTATACTGAAAGAAATTTACTGAGGTTGCGATGCCATACACTTCAAACTTGGCCGCACCTTTTGCATGTGTGTGTTATAGTAGAGGCTTTAATTACCCATAGCCTGCTAATTTTTGGGAAGAACTGTGGCTCATTCAGTGTACAGAATGGGCTGTGCTCATTATTTCAACATGTTGTTTTCTCTCTGTGTTTGGTTTTTGACCATCACGGTTGGACTTGATGATCTTAAAAGTCTTTTCCAACCTAAGCCATTCTATGATTCTATATCCATGTTTCATTTATTGCTCGCTAGTTAAACCTGTTCTAAATATAATACTAATTTAATCGTAGTGTAACATCTGAATTTTTCACAGACACTTTTTTCACTCACCACTTTGAGAAGAGCGAATAGCGTTAGCTTGATTTTATAAAAGGCGAGATGAAACACAGAGAAGTTGGGATACTGACACCAACTACCCACTGCCTATTTGTGATGCCCGAGACGAGGTTTTTCAAAGCTCTCAGCATTAAGCTGCATATTTTGTGTTAACACCACAGTACTCTTTGGCTTTAGTCTCAGCCACAAGTGCTCAGCGTGCCGGAGGCTCATACGGCACAGTTATACGTCGGGCACTAGCTCCTCAGAAACACACAGGTTAAAAGCCACCTATGAAAAGCTCTGTGTCACCTATGAAAAGCTATGTGTCTTCCACAGCATCCTGCT